TTGTAACACCCTGCTAACAAAATAAATGGGCGATTGGGAGTTACCTTTTTCCTGTACTAAGACTGCACTGATGGCGCTATCGGATGCCGACAAATACATCAACAAAGGGAGATCGGCCTGCGGTTTGGAGAGGATTGGCGGTGAGGTGAGAGCCTGCTTGAGTTCGCCGAATGCTCTTTCACATTCATCTGTCCACGCAAACCGGTCGTTCTTCCTTAAACATTGGAACAAGGGGAGCAACTTGTCCGCTGCCTTTGAAAGGAACCGAGAGAGGGAGGCCATCCTCCCTGTCAATTGCTGGACCTCTTTTACCATCGCGGGACTTCTCATACTGATTATAGCGGAGCACTTATCAGGATTTGCCTCAATGCCACGATGAGTCAGCAAAAAACCGAGGAACTTTCCTGCTTGGACGCCGAAAGAGCACTTTGCGGGGTTCAATTTGAGCTGGTAGCGTGCTAAGGTGTCGAACGACTCTTGCAAGTCGGAAAAATGCCGACATACGCTAGGCGACTTGACAACCATGTCATCCACGTATGCCTCTACATTCCTTCCTAGTTGATCGGCCAGTACCTTGTCCATAAGCCTCTGGTACGTCGCTCTTGCATTCTTCAAACCAAAAGGCATCACCTTGTAGCAGTAGGTGGCTTGGTCGGCCATGAATGCTATTTTATCCTCGTCGGCAGGGTGCATCCTGATCTGATTATACCCCAAGTACGCATCCATGAAACTCAATAATTCGTACCCCGATGCATTGTCGACTAGACAATCTATATTGGGCAGCGGGTATGAATCTTTTGGACAGGCTTTGTTCAAATCGGTGAAGTCCGTGCACATCCTCCAGTTTCCGTTGCTCTTCCGTACCATTACCACATTCGCTAGCCAAGTCGGGTATTGGATTTCCCGAATGTGACCAGCTGTCAATAATTTCTTCGTCTCCTCGGCTATGGCCCTTTTTTTATCCTCCCCAAACTTTCGTCGTTTTTGAATCACCGGCTTCGCCTTGGGGTCGACCATGAGACGGTGACATAGGAAGTCGGGATCAATGCCTGGCATGTCGCCAACACCCCATGCAAAAGCCGACACGTTGCTCTTCAATACGGTCAGCAATCCTTCCTCATCTTCTTTAGCCAAAGACACACCAATCTTGACCGTTTTTCCCTCGGCTAAGCTAACCTCCTTCACATCTTCTGCTGGGGCTGGTCGGGAATCGAAGTGTCTCATCCTCGGATCTAACTCGATTGACTGGACCCCCCGATCAACCTGTGTCACATATAACTGTCTCCTCGCCCTCAGGCTGTCCTCGTAGCACTTCCTTGCGACTTCCTGATCAACACGGAGGACCCCAACTTTTTTCGTTGGGTAAAGGGTACTCCAGCTTCAAGTGGGGTGTGGAGACAACTGCTCCCAACTTATTCAATGTCGATCGTCCGACTAGCATGCCGTAGGACGACTGAGCATTGACCACCAGGTATCGGACTTCCCTCGGCCAAGCTAACCTCCTTCACATCTTCTGCTGGGGCTGGTCGGGAATCGAAGTGTCTCATCCTCGGATCTAACTCGATTGACTGGACCCCCCGATCAACCTGTGTCACATATAACTGTCTCCTCGCCCTCAGGCTGTCCTCGTAGCACTTCCTTGCGACTTCCTGATCAACACGGAGGACCCCAACTTTTTTCGTTGGGTAAAGGGTACTCCAGCTTCAAGTGGGGTGTGGAGACAACTGCTCCCAACTTATTCAATGTCGATCGTCCGACTAGCATGCCGTAGGACGACTGAGCATTGACCACCAGGTATCGGACAGT